TCAACCCGAGCGGCAAGTTCATCATCGGCGGCCCCCAGGGCGACGCGGGCCTCACGGGCCGCAAGATCATCATCGACACCTACGGCGGCTGGGGCGCCCACGGCGGCGGCGCGTTCAGCGGCAAGGACCCGACGAAGGTCGACCGGTCCGCGGCCTACGCGTGCCGCTGGATGGCCAAGTCCGTCGTCAAGGCGGGCCTGTGCAAGCGCGCCTGCGTCCAGCTCTCCTACGCCATCGGCGTCGCCAAGCCCCTGTCCCTCTTCGTCGAGACCTACGGCACGGAGAACGGCGACCTCAGCGCCAAGGCGATCACGGACATCGTCAAGATGAATTTCGACGCGCGGCCCGGCGCGCTCGCGCGCGACCTCGACCTCCGCCAGCCCAAGTACAACGTCACGGCGGCCTACTGCCACTTCGGCCGCGAGCCCTACACCAAGGACGGCATCCGCTACTTCGCGTGGGAGGACGCCATCGACCTCTCCAAGTACGCGACCATGTCCGCGGCCGACGTCGACAAGGCCGTCGCGGCCAACAAGGCGAAGATCCTCGCCAAGTGGGTCGACTAGGCGCCGCCGGCCCGGCCGCCCCGGGCGCGGGCGCCCCCGCCGACGCGGGGGCCCCCGCCGCCGGAGCGCCCCGCGCGATCGCCGCCGCCGCCGCCGCCCGCTCCTCCCCCCGGAGCGCCGCGCTGGCGCCGACGCCGCGCCCGGAGCCGCCGACGGCGGTTAAGGGCACCTTCCTGCAGTCGCGGGAGTCGCGGGGGCGGTGGTCGAGATGCGCCACCGGTCGAGACGTCGGTCTCGAGAGCCGCCATGGCAAAGCACACTGAAGTTCAACCAAAGGTTCATGATGGCGAGTGCCGGGCGCGCGATGAAGAGGGGCTGCTCGCCCGGCGCTTCGAGCTAGTCGCGCCGTGCCAAGCTTGTTGCGCGCCTCGCCACGTGGCTGCGTCTCGCCCGGCGCTTCGGGCTAGTCGCGCCGTGCCAAGCTTGTTGCGCGCCTCGCTACGGAGGGCTGCGATGGCCGGCTGGTTCTCGTTGACCGGCTGGTTCTGGTCGCTCTGGGCGTTCCTGGGCTGGTGTGTGTGGCTCGCGAAATGGGCCGTGCTTGCCGCGACCTTGTTTCCCGAAGGTCCCTGGTACGAGAAGACCGAGAAGCAGAAGACTGGCAATGACATGATAGCGACCGTGGATACGCTGCTGGGAGAGATCCGCGCCGCGTGGCGCAAGCTCACGAAGGCGGACGCGTTGGAGCTCCGCGCCGCGTTCGTCGCTCACCTGAAGAACCCAGAACCCTGCATCCCGCCGCCCTCGGCCGAGGAAGACGTCGCAGGGATCACGCCGCCACCGTCAAGGAACCCGCTGCCATCGCTGCCATCGCTGGCATCGACCGTGCTCGAGATGAACATCGCCGGGTACTATTCGATCGGCGACGGCGACGGCGGCGGCCGCTATCGCGCGCTGGCGGCGGCCCTCGCGCTGCACGTCGCGATCGTGGGTCATCACGCGCTCGTGAGCATGACGGAAACGAA